ATCAACTTGAAAATTTAAGACATATAGGTGTTGTAGAATTGAATAAGACAATTTGAATTTTTGAAACTCGTGAACCCATGTAACCCCTTAAAGGTAAAAAATACTGTAGATTATGAGTTCAACCAAAAGGCCTAGGTAAGAAGCGAGAGTTACTTAAAAAGGATGATAAAACTTCAAAACTTTAAAGAAAAAATAAAATTATCTAGTATTACAGCTAATTAGTCAAGATATTATCCTTGAACTAAAACAACACCACAGAAAGCGAAATTTATTGAATATTTTAATACAAAGAAGGAAAAATAAACCTCTTATGCCATTGAAATTTTAAGCAAATTTGGAATATCTATTTAAATTGTGAACTGCTGCCGAATGTCTTGCTTCTGAAATGATGGCATGCGTACTCAGACAAACTTGTGGGATGAACAAGACCATGTATGTACATGTATCATAATTTGAGAGTTTAGGTCGCCTTTCAGAACATTAGCAAATGAAGAATCCTTTGATGATTACCTCAGGGTTCACGCATGTGCCTGCATCATAGGAAATCCTTGCGACTAAGTTATTCTGCAAATTTTTATGGAAAATTCTAAATTCCAGATATCTGAAGGCGTATGCCTTTAAAATTATTACCAACAAATGTATAGTATACAATTTTAAGTATTCATTAGTGCAATTCAATTTTGTCTTAGTTCATCTGGAAATAAATTACAAAATTTCAAAACAATATATTCGAGGATTAATTCGAGATCTGCCAACAAGGGGACTCACAACTTGTCATAACGTAACGAAAAACCATAAAATCATAAATTTGTATACTTGTTCAAAAAATTGTTGTTGCATTATATACAAAGATGAGTTTACACAATAACAATTCTCAACGGTATGTTTTCAGTTCTTTATAACGTATAACTTTATTAGAAAACTCTATCTAAAACAAAATTTATTTACAATATACCTCAGTATGTACATATGTATGTATATGAAGAATATGCGAATGTAAAAGAGTATAGAAATCTAAATAAAATAGCGAAAACAAAACAATACGTACAACACAACACTTCTGAGAAATACATGCACTTCAATAACCCTACAAATTTTACTTTGAAATAAATAAAATAAATCACAGGATACCTCAGAATTTGAAATACAGTCGCCATTGCACAGAATTTCTTTTATTTTACACACACACACACATTTCACAGTAAATGTATTGCGCTGCAAGCCTCAACTCACAAACCGAAGCGCCCACAATACGCCCATTATGTAATGTAGGCTCCTCCGCCAACCTACGATACTCATTATCATGAACAACAACAAATTTTAACAGTCACATATTGTGCCATTTGCATTGTTGTACCCCTTCAAAACGTTGCTTGGTATTGGTTGCTTGACTTGCGTCTACCGGTTTGTATGAATGTGTGTGGGTTAGTTGATGAGTGCGACTGCCGCCATGCGAACCAGCAACAAAACGGCAACAGAAACACAAGTTTGGCATAGCCGAGAGAGAGGGTACTCTCAGAATGCGGCCAAAGCGATGGCAAAGCTTTTGGTTGGCTACTACACTGCTGCTGCTGCTGCCGCTACCACCACTACTACTACTCGTGAGGATGCCGCAAATGTTGCTGTTGTCGCTGTTACTTTTCCCTTCAGGCAGCTGAACAATCATTTGACTGAGTGTTGGTGTTGGGAGGGCAACAAGCCCTTTGTATGTATGTACATTTTCAAGTTGAAAGCAGCGCGGAAATCGCACACATAAAACCCAGAGAGGAACAAGAAGTAACAGAAACACATGAGAAACTTGCTGGAGAATTACATTCGGTAATCGTATTTTGGAAATGTAATTTTTTTAATGGTGAATTGATTGATAAAGAGTATTGTTTTGAGTGTGAAATAATTTTATTTTTTTTTATATCGAACTTGCTGCTCATTCGAACTTCTTGGTATTGAGTGTTTATAGACCTGTTACCTGTTTAAAGTGATGTAAATAAAATGAATGACTTGGAGAGGTAGTAACTGTCATAAGTGCCCGGAAATGAATGACGAGATTTCTTAAATTATCTCGAAGTAATTATTCAAAATTTCATGTCGTTCCGGTGAATATTTTCGAATTTGACAAGGCGTTTCAGAGTGCTTGGAAATACAAGCCCAAATTTTAAACGCATTTTTCTCAAAAAAGGTGTTTTCAAAGTCCGTGATCAACATTACCCGAAAATGGCTAAGCCGATTAGTCTCAAATTTTAACACGAACTTCTCAAATATATTTTTTAGCAATGAAGGTTTTTTTTATATACAATTTTAGCTCGAAGTTTTGGCCCAATCTTTTGGGGTTATGTGAAAAAGGGGTTGATACAAAAGTTGTAGATCCTCTTATTACCTACAACGTTGAAATATAAACTTTAATCTAGTTTTGGTGAAAATTAATAAAATAAAATATCAATCAGAAACTTCCATTTCTAACCAAGAAGTTGAAAATTTTTCAGAATCGCCGATATTGGATCACTATAGTATATAATTTCACAGATTAGGTTACGTTAGATGGCTGATCAAAGATCGCACGTGGACGACTATATACAGTTCTTTGTGAGGCCGTAGAAAAGAAGAACTCCTGTGTTCAAACTTACAAAAGCGCTTAGTTGGCAGAACAAATTTGCACAGGCGTTTGATTTCAATTCCTGCCACCTCGGAACGCAGGACAGTCAAGGAGTAAGTATTGGGGTGTTCTATCCTGCCTTTTCTTGCTAGCTCAACAGCTTTACAATTTCACGCAATTCCGCTGAGTGCTGGCACCCATACCAGTTTCATCACAAAGGTACTTGATGCTTTGAGTTCAAGGCTAGTATCGCCGCTCTATGCTATCTTCTCTGAAGGCTACATTCCGCGGCAGTATATCTACTGCAACCTCGGCTTGCAAGACACTGCAATAGTCAGTGAGTCGGGAACTGGAATTGATAGGAAGATCCTGACAATAAATCCCTCCACTAACCTTTCCCCTTCTGTGAAGCTCGCAGTCATTTTCCTGCAACCATTTCTTCCCACCTACAACTCCCTTGCCGGTATATAGGTATGGTAGAGAAGGAACCGCCAGAGTTCGGTTTGGCGACTCCATGATCCAAGTGATCCGGTATGAAGTAAAAGGGAGCGAGATTTCCGAATGTTCGGACAATTCTTCTTTTATTAAAAATTTAGTTCTTGTAAGGAATAGTTTTTTACTAAGCGAGATATCTTTAGGAAATTTGATATGGATTATTGTGCAAGACAACAATAAGATGAAGAAATTTGTCAGACCGGATCACTGATATAAATAGCTGCAATAGAAACTGAACGATCAAAATCAATTTCTTTATTTTGTTTTATTTTTTGTAACCCGGAGCTTTCTACAGTAAATTTCTATTTGTCCAATGTTACCAAAACCATCAAAGTCTTGCCGTGGAACTGTAGCGTACCCACATTAAACCAAAAGAAGTCGTAATGACAATGGCGACGAATGTAAGAGGTAACTACCACAAAGAGCGCGCTTTAAAATATATACTCCCAGAATTGTAAATAGTTATTCACATACATACATATATATGTATGTAATCATGTATATATCGTGCGAGAATTAAATACATACACACATATGTACAAATACAATTATAACACAAGGTGAGCATGTCGGCGGCAGAGGCGCAACCGACTGAGTGAGCAACTTTGTATACAGTGCCCAAAAACTTGAATTTGTAAACTTTTTTAATTACACGCCCGTCCTTCCGACAGCCAGCTGTGTCAGCAGCCTACTACAGCACCATCACCGTCGCCGTCACCGTCACCAACTCCACTGCCAAGCATTGCTGTCGTTTGGTCTTTGCTCTTGCCATTGCTAAATGTTGGCGATTGCCGCTGCGTCTGCTGCTGCTGCGGCTCATTGTTGTTGCTGCTGTTACAGTTGCGGTGGTTGTTGCACAGTATGTAGCAGCCAAGAAGAAACTCCGTTGACAGCAGCAGCTGCGAGGGTAGGAGTAGGGCGGTTGCCATTTCAACCCTCGTACGACACATTTACTCGCTCGCTCGCTCACTCACACGCCTTCCAATCGCATATATGAATGTTTGAATGTATGTGTGTGCACATTGAATTACTTTTGCCTTTAGTGAAAAGTAACTGTGTGTGAATGGCGGACTGACTGGTTGCCTGCGAAGGCGCAGCGCTTGCTTGCTTGATGCTTGTTTGGTGCGTTGGTTGGTTGGTTGGTTGGTTGGCTGCCTGTTTGATGGACTCAATGACTGGGGGCTTCGTCGGTGCTTGGCAAAGTTGATTCAGTTTCAATTGAGTATCCGTCGTGTAACAACGTCGCAACGGTCGGGCAACGCGCGTCAATGTGCAACAAACCGGAATTCTATTAAGAGGCTGCCAGTCGTTTGTGTTCAAGCACCAAAATCATAAAAAATACAACAAAAACATACACATTAAGTGTTTGTAACAAAAAAAAAAAATTAAACAAATATGTTTATTTGTTAAATAAAAAACAGAAAAAACGATTGTGTTGCTGCAACAAAAATTAAATAAAAATGTTGCAGTATTGCCAGTGAACAGAAAAGAAATATATGTATATACATTTAATACAATTCTCAACGCTTTTGTTTGAAAATGTTTTATTGAAAACTTTTTAAAACTGCTGTGTTTTGACTAAGTAATTGCTGTGCATATTGCCATTGCCTTACAATTTGACTTTGCTTCAGCGTCGCTTGCAACATGAGTTTACCCACCGGCGTGGATATGCAGAATCTAATGTCGCAGCATCCAGTTTTAGGCGCTTTGCCGCCCGCCTTCTTTCTGCGCGCCGCCTCGGAGCGCTACCAGCGAACACCGAAATGTGCGCGCTGTCGCAATCATGGCGTGGTGCGTGTTTTATATTATGTTTAAGTGCAAATATATTATATTTTAGTTCTTGTATTCAAAAATATTATATTTCAAACTATTGATATAAGACAAAAACAAAAAAAAGCATTTTATGTCTAATTATGGATATTTGGAAATATTTTTGTTTGTTTGGTCCAATCATATACTAATCTCTGCTATTTTGTGTTCTTATTTGTTTTGAAAAATAAAGTTATACAAACCCTATGCATGAAAGCAAACCTCACAAAGAATTTTGAGATTTTGGGCAAAAGAGCTGTAAACATCGCCCGGGTAACAAAATAAAGAACATTAATTCATTTCGAATCCGTCAAATTTTTTCAAAATCGTATTGTAGAACCGGTCTTAATCATTAATTTCATTAAATTTCTGTATACATCTCTTATCATTATCAATTCATATTTTTGAACCAAATTTTATGATGTATATACTAATGATATATGCTATACTGTATACTATAAGCTTTTAAGTAATTTCTTTTATTATATTATATATACATAGATATTTCAATTCAAAATGTATAAAAAAAATTGTTCACTAATAATCATTTTTTATTTCGTTTAGTTATTTTATATATTTTTCAATCTGTTCGGCTTCTAATTGTTGATTAACTACTGCATTTTACTATAAAGGATTTTTATGGTTATGTTTGGTACACAAAATCTATTTTTCAAAAATTAATCAATAATTTTTTTTTTTAAGAATGCTAAGTCGGAACCATGACTTGAATAATTTTAGCTTCAACTCACGAATATTATGGCTTATAAAAAATTTTTTATCAGTAAAATCGCCTATTCTTTCTAATTAGTCCCAATAAATTGTACAACTTTTATTGGTTTTTAAGCTTTTAGCATTTTTGACTACGAAAATGAATTCATATCTATCTTGATTCCTATCGAGGGTTAATATATGGTTCTTTTAATGAAATATTGTACATATTTTGTTTCGATCTAAAGGAAAAGTCAAAAATTTACCCAAAACAGAGTTTTCAAAAATTCACTATTCACTATAGTTAAGGAGCACACCCAGTTCGACAACTCAAAAATTGCAATTTATGACAACGAAGAAATTAAGTCAAAAAAGAAATTACTGCGATAATTGTCTTTTTGTATATTTACCTGTACGGTAATATACGGTAGAGTTTTCGAAGAAAAAATGTTTCACGAAATCTCCGACGGCGCTAGATAAATAGGTCCTGCTACGTGCAAAAAACCTCCTACTATTGTTCGTAAAATGATATAAGGTCGAAAAACATAACCAAAAGTTTACAAAAAAAAAACAATTTTTTTTTTAATTAAAAAAAAACTTAAGCGAGATTAAACTGATGCTGCATTTTAAAAGGATGTAACTAAAAAAATAGCGGCTTTAGGTATTTTAAGTTAGATTACTACAAAAATAATTAAAAATTTAGTAACATAAAAAACTTAAAATTACACTACTTTCTGAGAAATAAAGTAAAACTATTATTTAAAAGTATATTATTTTTCCAAAAAAAAAAAAATCACTCATAAATCAATTTTCTAACATTTTGCAGGTTAGCGCGCTCAAAGGACACAAGCGTTATTGCCGTTGGCGTGATTGTGTTTGTGCGAAATGCACTTTGATTGCGGAGCGACAACGCGTTATGGCCGCACAGGTACGCATTAAGGTCGATTCACAACTAACAGCACGGAACGATGCGTTACAATACTTTAGAAACTGCTATCAAGTAAATGAAATCTAACAACAAAACTCAAAAAAAAAAAMAAAAAATACAAAAACAAAAAAATCATAGTAGTAATACATAATTCGCACTCAGCGGCAGCGGAGTGCATTAAAAGCAGACAATTCAGGGAAATTTAAGTAATAAATTACATAAACTGATAAAAAAAAGCTAATAGCGCTAGCTCAAAAATTTTGAAAATTTATGAGAAATTTTGAACTAGTTGCAAGGCAGGTAAAAAAAAAAACATGTACTCCCGTTTTATAAGTTTTTAAACCATTTCCAAGATGTAAAGTGCAACTCTGCCGCAATTCGTTCAATGCAACTTCGACTAAAGGAAAACAAAGACAAGACGTTATCTTCGACTGAACCCAAAATGTAATACCATTTACAGTTGTATTTCTTGTTTATTATATTTATTTTGATTTTAAACGGTCAGTTTACTTGGCAGCTATATGTTATAAAGGTCGTATCTGAACATTATGTTCGGAGATTGTAGTGTTATATGAAATAATAACTTAGGCCGAATTTCTTAAAGAATTATTATCAAATACAAAAGTTTTCGATACAAGGACCTGAGTTTGATTGGTCAGTTTTTATGACAGCTATATGCTGAAGGTGTTCGATCTAAACTATTTCTTGTCAAATTATAGCGTTATCTGATATAATAATCCCTAGCAAATTTAGTGACGTTAGCTTTACAAATAAACAAGCTTTCCGTACAAGGACGTGAGTTTGATAGATCAGTTTGTATGAGCTATATGACAGAGTTGTCCGATATAAAAATTTCTTGGAAAATCGTAGCAAAGCTTTGGATTGTTATATGGCAAATTTCGTTAGGATATCTTGTCAAATTAAAAAGTTTCCCATACAAGGGCTTGACTCCGATCGWTCAGTTTGTATGTTTGCTATACCCTATAGTGAGCCGATATAGTCTGTTTCGATAAATGAGCAGCTTGTTGATGAGAAGAGGATGTGTGCAAAATTTGAAGTCGATATCTCGACAACTGAAGAACTAYTTCGCGTATAAACARAMAGAYRTGGCTAAATCGACTCAGYTTGTCACGCTAGACATTTCTACAATGTATTCTTTGAACGGTATCCGACGTTACCTTTTGGGTATTATAAATTTCGTGCCAAATTAAATATAGCCTGTTCAGGRTATAAATATATCGGACTTAATATTATTTCAATAAGTTCCATGGATCTATTAGAAGTTATATACCACCATATAATTCGATTAACMGACTTTGAATATAGCAAATTTCTGTCAGAAAAGTGATTTCATCGAAAAAACTGCAAAAAATAAACAAACAAATTGATATACTCAAAATTTCTCAAACCCCAGTTACGCTATTTTAACTAGAAAACTTAGATTTTGAAACTCCAATATTTGTTTTTCAAATTTTGTCAATCATTTAATTGTTGGCCACAGTGTTGTGCTGGCTCGTGTCGTGCTGTGCCCTGCCAATGGGTGTGAATCTCTGTATATAAAGCTTTCAAACTCTATTAGACCAAACTAAAACCGACAAAGCAACCATAATTACAACAACACTCACACGCTTTTCTTTTTTTACGCTTCCGCTGCAGGTTGCGCTGCGTCGCCAGCAAGCGCAAGAGGAGAACGAGGCGCGCGAATTGGGCCTACTCTACACCAACGTGCCGCCGGGCCAGTCGAATGGCGTGGATGGCGGCGGCGGTGGCGGCGGTGTGGTCACACCAAATCAGCACAGTCCCGCGCCACCGATGACCAATGCTGCCGCCTTTCATCCCGGCATACCGTCACCGCCCAGCGACGGTCTGGACACCAGCAACGGTCAGCGCATACAGTATAACGGCAATGAATCAGACACGGATGTGCGTATGCGTTCGTCGGAGCCGCTGTCGATGGGTTATTCGCCGGATCGCAGCACCGAAGTGGAGAGTCCAGGTGAGTGTGCGCTGCAATGAAGCAGCAGCGGTGAAGAACAACAAATCTCGGCATAAGAAGTTGAGCGGTTGCCGGGCATAGCGAGTGTATGTGGAGGGGGGTTATGAGTTGTGAGTAGCGCAAGATGTTGCACATTTTAAGACGCSTTCCTGTTGTTGTTGTGCTGATGCGGTGCAGTGTGTTGTTGCTGTTATTGCACTTAAGCGATGAAGTGTGTTTGCGCGCACTTTGGCGACTTCCGCGCAAGAACACCGTTAARAGTGCGGAAAAATTACAACGTACGTCTGTTTAAAATGTGCAAAAGGCGGCTTGAGCGCTCTGTTAACGCATTGACGGAAGTGCAACGATGCGTTGAGTGTTTAGTCGAGTGGGTGGTTAAGTTGTGCGTGGTTGTGTAAGTGTGTGCGTGGGCGGTTGGCGTTGCAATTGGTGCTGTGTGTGTGTGCGTGTGTGGGGGTGCTTTGGAAAGAGTATTTGCGCATGAAATGTGAAAAGTGACAAAATTAAGAGAAAAGTTAAGCGATTGTTGATTTTCGTTGAGCAGTTTACGGAAGTAGTGTGAAAACGTGTTTATTTGTTTAACTATAAACGCTGTGAGAGTTTTCGGTGAGTTAACACGTCAAATGTAAATGTAAATGTAGTTTTCGTGCTATTACATATTTTTGATGAGCAAAAAGTCGAGAACGAAGAATAGTCGAAAATGTATTAAAATAATTTAAGCAAGTTTAGATTTATGTACAAGAAAGTTAATGCTAAGTTATAATGGGAGCTAGATATAATGTAAAGAACTAGAAATATATTTCTAAAATCTAATAAAGGCCAATATAATATTCTGATCTCTTAAGGGGTTACATCGGTCCTCWGGTAAAAAACTAAATTTTTTCAACAATTTTTTCGCATAAAAAATTTAAAATTTTAATTGAATTTTTTATTATTACACACTGAAATTGAAATTGTTCGAAAAAAAATATTTTAAACTCGGCCCTCGGAAAAGAGAAGCGCCTGCGTTGGCATCATAAATCCTTACAGGATCATCTTAAGTGAAAAATACGTGTTTTAGTTAAATCCTTAGCCTTGGATGAAGGAAAAAAACGGAAAATTGGATTTTTGGTAGAAATTTTTACAAAAATATTAAAATTAATGTGAAAATTTCGCAATTTTTTTTTTATCAAATAGTTGTAATCGAAAAAAGTCCTACACCCAAGTGTTCAAGAATTGTATCTCAAAGACCTGTGTAAAATTTCATGAATATTGGTTGGGTARTTCTCGAGAAATCTTGCAAACCGACTTCAAAAACACAGTTTCGAGAAAAACCCGTAACCCATATATTTTATCGTTATCGTTTTCACTGCCGGTGCATTGTGTTGCTGAAACAGCACTTCCTTTTGCGGTCGTTTTTGACGATACCGTCATTCAAACGATCCAATAATGCTATGTAATAGTCGYTMTTTATTGTCTTTTTCCAGGTAGTCAATAAATATTATTCCATGTGCATCACAAAATACAGACGCCACAATTGCGCCAGCCGACYGTTGCCGTTTTCCATGCTTTGGTGTAGGTTCATTGGGTGCAGTTAACTCGAATGAGTGTCGATTGGACTTCGGCGTAAAATGATAGAGGCATGCTYCTTCCATTGTCACATATCGACGCAAAAACTCGGGAATATCCCACTTGAACATTTTAAAATATTACTCCGAATCATCAACTCGTCGTTGGTTTTGGTAAAAAGTGAGATCGTATGCTACTAATCCTAAAACAAAAATATTTTATTCTAAACTAATAATCTGACACACGCCTTTTGAAGCTTTTCTTTTGTAGAAACTTAAACAATGTGTCATCCCATTACATGAAATTACTTAGACCTGGATGAAAAGGATTGAGTAGAACAGTTAATTAGTCGATTCGACTTGTTTTGGAACACAACTTGCTTATTTAGAAAGCTTTTTTCGTGTTTAAATTTTCATACAAAAAAAAAAAAATAAAACGAATTATCCTTTGTTTAGGTTGTTATATAAGGAACTGTTCAACTTTTATGTTGCTGAAATATTTAAGATTTTTTTTATATTATAATATTGGATCGGTACTGCTGATATCGGAAGACTATGGCTTATAGCTTATAGTCATACAAAATGTAGAATCAGCATCAAGTGCTTGTATAGAAACTTTATTGTGGAAGGCGACGCCACGATTTCTGAATAAATTATTCAAATTGGATRCCACACAAATTGGCCTATCAAAATCAAGTACTTGTGAGAAAAGTTTAATCYGTGAAGTGCATTATAACTTTGGAGCAGCCGAAGTTAACGYGTTTTCTTCTAAAAATCACAAACACCTCATAACTTGTGCGAATAATAAATAATATTTTCCTGGGTTTGAAATCCAATAACTTTATATCGTCATCTAAAAATCAAGGTATTATCAAAAAATTTAAATTGAATTTTTTTTTGCTTACGATTCACTACATCTACATCCATATGTAGCGTAAAATTTTCAGCTTCCGCTGTCAGACATAACGAATACATAACCATTTTATAAAAAAAACTCAAATTTTGTTTCAGTAAGAGTGGTTTCTATTATATCGATTTTCCTTCGACTGTAAACTTATTTAAAGTGATATTACGTTATTTTGTAGTTAGGTGACGATACATATATCTAATGTCTCTAACAGTCGTACAGTTTGTGAGGGTATTTTGTGTTCGATTCCACCCGAATAAATCTATATAAAATAATCTCACATAAATTTACCCTATTATTTGTTTATAGAAGACCTTGTGGAATACCTAAAAATGAAAAATTAAAAATTTCACGAGTGGAGTATTACTTACAATTTAAATAGTAAGCGGAGCACCATCAAAAAATTCTACACCACCTGTCAATAACCAAATTAAACACACTCTCATGGACTTAATTGAATTACAACGCCATAGTACTCAATCGGCAAGTCACAAAAATAACAATTCAAACAAAACAAATCAAATAAAAAAGTTGAAGACGAATGCTGAAGATATCAAATGACTATTTGCTATTTTTTCTACTTCTCGGATCGTTTCCAAGCGACCAACACCTGCCTACCCTTGAAGCTGCCCATGTTCGGTACTCTACTCACACTCATTTATGCATGTAACAGCCCTGTGCTGTTTGCAATATTTACCGTTGATGTGATTACATTTTTCTAACTTTTATTCGATACTTTCTTTTGARAAGATGGAGAGCAAGTTATTTTTGTTTATGTGTTTGCATAGGGTGCCTTCAAGGTATCAAGTATCCGTTTATTGTTTGCAGTTAGCTTGGTGTGGGTTAAGAAAAAAATGTGAAAATTTGTTTGTTTTTGTAACTCCTGAGAAAAAAAATTATGCTGTATTTGTTTTTGTATGATTTATGCAAATTTGTGTTTGCAAATGGGGTCGTAGGTCGAATTGTTTTGTAATTTGAGAAGAAACTAGATAATCAATTGAAAGCAACGTCTGATAGAAATTGTAAACCCACTAAAGCCAATCTCACCACTTACCAATTTACTCACAAATTTCGCATATTGAAACTCATTTCTCTCTTCACTCATTCGCAGGTTCGAAACGCGCACGCCTCTCCAACGAGACCGATCAAGACACCGGTTCCGAGTCATCGCCCAGCAGTCCGCGCATGAAGTCCCGCAACTACCATGACAGCGGCAATCTTTCGCCCACGCGCACCGGCCCACCCAGCTCGCCGGAATCYGATCTCGATGTGGACTCGGCGCCCGACGAGGCGACGCCCGAGAATCTCAGCCTGAAAAAGGAGGATTCCACATCGCCACCCAACACGCCCACTGATAATTTACATTTGCTGCGCACATTCAACAATGGCGCCGCACAAGGTTTCATGCCATATCATCACACGCAGTTCCTTGCCGCCGCCATGCCTGCTGCTGCCGCCGCCGCTGCTGCCGGCGTCGGCGTACATCCGCATAATCAGCATTCACCGCACGCACAGCATCATCAGCATCAACATCATGCAGCGCATCAGCAGCAGCAACAACAACAACAACAACAGCAGCAACAGCATGCGTTGCCACTCGCAATGATGCAACAACAAATACAGGCTGCACAACCACAACAACGTTCACCCGTCGATGTGCTGTTGCGCGTCTTTCCCAACCGACGTCGCAGCGATGTCGAACAATTGTTGGCGCGCTATCGCGGTGATGTGCTCCAAGCTATGGAGGCTATGCTCTCCGGCGAAGACATGACGCAGGCGCTTGCTTCGGCCGCAGTAGCGGCTGCCGCTGCATCGGCCGCGGCATCACCRCCGAACGTGCCGCCGTCACCGCCATTCCCGCTCAAGTCGGCCTTCTCACCGCTGGTGCCACCCGCTGCAGTGTTCGGCTCACCAACCCATCGCTACCCGCCCTTCATGCAGGCGCACGCGAAACGCTTCCTCGCCGGCCCTTAYGCGGGCGCTGCGTACTTGCCCGGTGTGCTGCCGCCCGATGTCATCGATCAAGCGGAGTCGAATGGCGGTGCGTCAATGGATCGCAACAGCAATGCTGGCGACTCGCAAGATTGAAAAGGCTGTTGCAAGCAGTGCCCAATGGGTGTGAGTAATATGTTCAGGCCGTATGTGTAGCGTGTATTCAGGGCGGCGCCTGCGTCCGGCTCTCACACGGCTGCACAACGCTTCGCTGAGGTGATTTCATTCCGTGTATATATGTTGTCGTTGTAAATAGTGGTAACTTCAAATTACGTAAATCATAAYTAGGGAATAACCGTTATATACTGTATATGCATCCAAATATACACTTGTATGTGTGTTTATGTGCATCCATTTTAACYAGTGTTAACCAAAATTGTAAGCATTTTATTCAAGTGTCGTAATATATAATGTATATTATGGCAAAATATATAATTTAGTTTAGCATAACCCTATATACATATACAACGTGTATATATGTATATCAATTTACATATATATTATTTAAATATTTAAGTTCTACCTTTTAAGCAAAGTTCTTTGTATCCTAGATAAACTTGAAGCACTAGTTAAACCAATAACAAAATATTGAATTACGTAATAAATATAATTGTGCGCCGTTAAAAAATCTTTGAGCATATAGTACATGTATGTGCATGCATATATACATACGACGTGTATAGCGTAAAATTATCGATCAAATTAAAATGAAGTGATCGATATATAAAATTAATTGTAGCTTCTAGTTTTAAGCAAAATTATTACCTACTATAAACTATATACAAATACTGTGTTAAAACGTAAAAGATAATAAAAATTCTAATAAAAAAATCTAAAATTTTGCATTTAATAAATACATTTGTCCTCTATATAGGTGTAAACACTGTTTATGCGGTTATAGCCGAGTTAACAACGGTGCGCCAGTGAGATTGGATATTCCAAGTGCTGTCCAACGGAGTGGAGGTCTTTCTTTTCCTCTGCTTTGACATCTACGAAGAGGTGATGTGTGTCGGATCTTTTCCAAGATTTAGCGCATGGTGAATATCTGATCTGTTGTTGATTTTTTAGGACTAAACCCACACTGATAAGGTACAATCAGTTTGTTGATGGTAGGCTTTAATCTTTCACACATTTCGGTCGATAGAACCGTATAAGCATGTTTAGGAGGCTTTTCCCCACGGTAGTTGGCGCAGATCGTGGGCTTTGCCTTTTTGTGGATTGGGGGTATGCTTTCGTCCAATCATATTGTGCAAAGAAGCAAGTACGGTGGTGGGCTATCCATCATGTCACGCCGCTTTGCTTTTCTTCAAACGTGTAATTGCTATTCGAACAATTGGAGAATCGGGTTCACCATCTTGTTATACTTGCACTTGTAGGCTAGAGAAGTGTTCTCTCCATAATGGGCATCAGTCACTACACCAACTCTGGGGATTCTACAAAAGTATGCTCCGGTCTTGAAACGTTCTGTT